TGACCTGGTTGACTTCAAAATCGCCCAATTAATGTCTAAAGCAGATCACAATCTCCTTTGCCAAAATATCCAGAAGCATTTTGAAATTAGAGATAGTTGTTATCATCTAAGAGGTACTCTTCCCTGAGATTTGCTTCAGTTGATATCCGGGAAGCAATTATTAATGACAATTAGTAACCAGCAAAATGGTGAAATTATTTGTATTTGTTTTCTATCTTGGTGTTTTTGTGTTTGTTTTACAACTTATTGAATGTATTCAAGAAATGCAGTATATATAAAGAATATGAGACATTTGATATAAAAAGTAGAAAGAACAATTATATATATACAAACAGAAAGGTGTATAAATAGATAAGTACAGTACACATAAGGGTAAAAGTATTTGATGAGATGTAGATCTCTTCCTTTTCTTTGGTATTGAAAAAGGATCAATTTATATTTTTACACAACAAGGGGTCGGACTAGATAAGTTGTATACTTCTTCCTACTCCTTTGAGCATATAACTGTGATGATGTTTATTTTATTTACTTTTTTTATTTTTCCTTTTGTAACTTTTGCTTGCCTTTTGTCAATCCGTCATTGTATTGTATGTTCAATAAACAATTAGAAAAAAAAAATCACAGCATTTCAGAAGATTTGGAGACACTATTTATACATGCTCCTGACAGGATTTGAACCTACGCTGAAAGATCCCAATGGATTTCAAGTCGATCGCCTTAACCACTCAGCCACGACAACTGATTTGAAGTTTATTGGGTGAAATTTTTGTAGGAGAATAATTTTGATGGCCGCGTTTCACCCTGTGCCTGAGTCCTGGGACAATGGCTGCTATTTTGAGCCACAAATGTTGGCGTGGCCCCATGATTAAAATGGTGGACAAGAAATGCCATTTGTTCTCTCGACACAGATTGAAGTCCTGTCGACAGGGAATGCAGTTTGGAGATTTGACATTCCAGATGCTGACTCTGTCGAAGAGGAGCACAACATTTCAGAAAATGTTTCGCCAAGAGGTGACTGTTGTCGGCAGGATTTGAACCTACGCCGGAAAATCCCAATGGATTTCAAATCCATCGCCTTAACCATTCAGTCACGACAACTGATTTGATGCTTATTGGGTGACATTTTTGTAGGAGAATAATTTTGATGGCCGCGTTTCACCCTGTGCCTGAGTCCTGGGACAATGGCTGCTATTTTGAGCCACAAATGTTGGCGTGGCCCCATGATTAAAATGGTGGACAAGAAATGCCATTTGTTCTCTCGACACAGATTGAAGTCCTGTCGACAGGGAATGGAGTTTGGCGATTTACCTTTAAACAAGCTTACTCTCTTCAAAAGAAGCACAACATTTAAGAAGAATTTTCTCCGGGAGGTGATCATTGTCGGCAAGATTTGAACCTACGCCGGAAAATCCCAATGGATTTCAAATCCATCGCCTTAACCATTCAGTCACGACAACTGATTTGATGCTTATTGGGTGACATTTTTGTAGGAGAATAATTTTGAGGGTCGCGTTTCACCCTGAGGAATGAGTCCAGAGAAAATGGCAGTTATTTTGAGGCACAAATGTTGGCGTGGCCCAATGATTAAAATGATGGACAAGAAATGCAGTTCAGTCTCTCGACCCAGGTTAAAGTCCTGTCGGCAGGGAATGCAGTTTTGAGATTTGACATGAAAGATGCTGACTCTGAAGAAGAGGAGCACATTTCAGAAAATGCTTCGCCGAGAGGTGATCGTTGTCGGCAGGATTTGAACCTACGTGGGAAGAACCCAATGGATTTTGAGTCCATCCCCTTAACCACTCGGCCACGAAAACTGATTTGACGTTTATTGGGTGACATTTTTGTAGAAGAATAATTTTGAGGGTCGGCCTGAGCCCGAGTCCTGCGACAATGGCTGCTACTTTGCAGCACAAATGTTGGCATGGCCTTGTGGTGAAAACGAAAGATAAAGAAATGCAGTTTGGTCTCTCGACCCAAGTTGAAGTCCTGTCGACAGGACATGCAGTTTGGAGATTTGACATTAAAGATGCTGACTCTCTTCAAAAGAACCACAACATTTTAGAAAAACTTTCTCCAATGTGATCGTTGTCGGCAGGATTTGAACCTACGCGGGAAGAACCCAATGGATTTCTAGTCCATCGCCTTAACCACTCGGCCACGACAACACACTTGTTTTGGTTATAGGTGACAATTTTGTTGGATAAATTTCTTCCCTGTCAGTGCAAACATGCAGGGGCTCCGTCGTACAAATAGTTCCTGAACTGATATCACAAAAGATTCAATTGAAGCACAAACTCGGAGTAATTATCTGGGAGTATATCAGAGTGCCCTTGTTGATTAACCCACCCTCGCCCCCTTATTTTTTCCATTTGTTGGTTGGGTGGATGCCACACAGCCCTCAATTTTTTTTTTACAACCAACTAGTCATACTGCAGGCGGCCCGGTCGTCCAGTGGTTAGCACGTCGACTTCACAGTGCAGAGGTGCCGGGTTCAATTCCAGCTCTGGCCTCCCTGTGTGGAGTTTGCATGTTCTCCCCGGGCCTGTGTGGGTTTTCTCCGGGTGCTCCGGTTTCCTCCCACATTCCAAAAAGCATGCATGGCAGGCCGATTGAACACTCTAAATTGTCCGTAGGTGTGGATGTGAGCGTGGATGGTTGTTCGTCTCTATGTACCCTGCGATTGGCTGGCAACCGATTCAGGGTGTCCCCCGCCTACTGCCCGAAGACAGCTGGGATAGGCTCCAGCACCCCCCGCGACCCGAGTGAGGATCAAGCGGTTCGGAAAATGAATGAATGAATGAATAGTCATACTGCATTCAAAAAAAAAGCTTCGATACATCAATAATATTTTGCAGTTTTATTTTTCTGCCCACTGTTAGGACCTTATACGTTTAACCAGGTCCCATCTCTTCAGTAGAATAGAAATGACATGGCTCATATAATCCTATTATCAAGTCGGATTCTTGTCCCTCTGGCACACAAACACCGACAAAATAGCATATTTGTTCATCAGGATTTTGGTTTTTAATAATTCATCATTTCGAATAAATGCAAACACTTTTTAAACATGCAGCAGAAAGTAGTTGAAGTGCTCAAGGAACAGTACATACACCATAAATGCACAAACATATTCATGATGGAGAACTCTTTCTGACACAAGATGCCCACAGAGCGTTTCGATCAAGCATCGGCAAACGTCAACTATAAGATGCGCAGGACACCATTTGAATGCTTAAAAGACAGAATAAGTTTTTTGTTGCTTTCTTTTTCTTTCTTTCTTTTCTTTCAAGCTTTGCATGTGGCAAGTCCGTAACCCAGGCAAGCCCACTCGTTGGTCATCTCCATGAATCCAGGTCCGCTGGCCAGTCCGCTAGCTGAAGGAAAAATGAAAACACATTAGGGTTAGCATGGTATTGCTTAAAATGTCTCTCCCTTGCATGTGAGTGGCTAACCTGAGAGCAGATCGTACAGGTTGCAATAGTTGAGGCCGTTGTCCAGAAGGCTGGTGAATCCCAGAGAGGTGGACTGGCCCTGTGTACAACCCCCCACAAAAACACTCATTGTCAAACATTTAGCCTGTATTTCACCAAAATGATTCCCAAACACTTGAATATCACTGCAACTTAATCTAACATCGTCACCCTAGACAGCTTACAGATGACTGCGTTTCAGAGGAAACACTCTGCTCACAACCAAGACTGAACTTAGCTCCTCCCTGACACAGAGCTTGTCTCTCGGTCAAGATATATCATTCATATATACTCCCTTGATGCCAATTTCTGTATAGACAATGTTAAGTAGGGTGTTTCGGAAAGACCACAACAGCTGCAAATTTTCAGCAAAACAATTTCAAGTTAAGTGCGGAGCTTCGTGGAGACACAAGTACCAGTAGTCTCTTGACACCATCTTGTGGCATGTAAAGACGATTACAAATGGCATTCATGACTACAAGACCACACAATGTAATAAGAGTGGGTGGACGTACGGACACCCTGCATCCTCCGGTCATGAGAGTGGAGCTGAAGGTGAAGGTGATGTTCTCAACCGCCAGGCCGTCGATGGAACTGTGGTTAGCGATGAGGCCCAAAGGAGTGCCGGCTACCAGCTGGAGGAACGATTGGAATGTTTAAATCTGTGGAAATGTCATTTGATTTGGATTTCTTGCCACGTTTTCTGATGGGGCGTCCAAATTGCTCTCATGGACCGTCACATCAAGAAAAATGGAAGAAAGATGATGTGTTTGGGAAAAATACGAAAAACAATGCAAAACTGCATACTGGTGGTCAACAAAGCACGTGTTGTGATTTAAAAAAGGTGTGATGTATTTTCTGTCTTTCTTTAAGCAGACAATATTTTGTAGGGAGGGAATGCAGTTTGAAGATTTAACATTGAAGATGCTGACTCTGTCGAAGAGGAGCTCAACATTTCAGAAAATATTTGTCCAAGAGATGATCGTTGTCGGCAGGATTTGAACCTACGCGGGAAGAACCCAATGGATTTCAAGTCCATTGTCTTAACCACTCGGCCACAGTTGTTTTATTATAGGTCACATTTTTTGGAGGAGAGTACATAATTTTGAGGGCAGTGCCGGAGACAATGGCGGCTGTTTTGCACGACAATTATTGGTGTGGCCCAAAAATATCCTCCCCCGTCGTAGTCCCTTTGAGACTTTGGAGGGCTGCCAGCTCCTCACACATCTCAAAGTTCGCGCTAACTCCACAAATAAAAATTTGCAGTTGTGCTGTGTCCTGCACGTCCATGCTCTCATCCAATGCAAATGAAAAAAATTCAAAATCTTTCATCTTCTGCTGCAGCTGGGCATATACATTTCCCACGATTTCTTCAATATGTCTGGTGATTGTACTCGCTGATAGACTCACGCTATTGAAGACGTTTTCCTTCTCGGGGCACACCTCCTCCGTGACAGCGATCATGCATTTCTTCACAAACTCTCCATCGGTAAAAGGTTTACCGAAAATAGTTCAGAACTAAGGAACATTTTAATGCAAAAGCCCAACTTTACTATCAAATAAAAATACACATTAATGAAAAATAAATCAAAATACTCTGGTATTGTTCAGGGGGGGCGGGCCAAATACAGAGGCGGCCCGTGGGCCGTAGTTTGGGGATTTCTGATTTAAAGCATGCAAACTCTCTCGAACAAAAGCACAGCATTTCAGAAGATTTGGAGACACTATTTATCCTTGTTCTTGACAGGATTTGAACCTACACTGGAAGACCCCAATGGATTTTTAGTCAATCGCCTTAACCACTCGGCCACGACAACTGATTTGATGTCTATTGGGTGAAATTTTTGTAGGAGAATAATTTTGAGGGTCACGTTTCACCCTGTGCCTGAGTCCTGGGACAATGGCTGCTATTTTGAGGCACAAATGTTGGCGTGGCCCCATGATTAAAATGATGGACGTTGGTCCATCAAATGATGCCGTTTGGTCTCTCGACACAGGTCGAAGTCCTGTCGACAGGGAATGCAGTTTGGGGATATGACATTCCAGATGTTGACTCAGTCGAAGAGGAGCACAAAATTTCAGAAAATGTTTCGCCAACAAGTGATCGTTGTCGGCAGGATTTGAACCGACGTGGGAAGAACCCAATGGATTTCAAGTCCATCGCCTTAACCACTCGGCCACAACAACACAGTTGTTTTCGCTATCGGTGACAGTTTTGTAGGAGAGAACTTAATTTTGAGGGCCGTGCATTAGTGCTGAGACAATGGTGGCTATTTTACACCACAAATGGTGGTGTGGCCCCACAGTGAAGATGATGGATGAGAAATGCAGTTTGGTCTGCCGACGCAGGTTGAAGTCCTGTCGACAGGGGATGGAGTTTGGCGATTTAACTTTAAACAAGCTGACTCTCTTCAAAAGAAGCACAACATTTCAGAAGAAATTTCTCCAGGAGGTGAACATTGTCGGCAGGGTTTGAACCTACGCCGGAAAATCCCAATGGATTTCAATTCCATCGCCTTAACCACTCAGCCACGACAACTGATTTGATGCTTATTGGGTGACATTTTTGTAGGAGAATAATTTTGAGGGTCACGTTTCACCCTGAGCAGGAGTCCAGAGAAAATGGCAGTTATTTTGAGGCACAAATTTTGGCGTGGCCCAATGATTAAAATGATGGAAAATAAATGCAGTTTTGTCTCTAGACCCAGGTTGAATTCCTGTCGACCGGGAATGCAGTTTTGAGATTTGACATTAAAGATGTTGACTCTGTCGAAGAGGAGCACAACTTTTCAGAAAATATTTCTCCAAGAGGTGATCGTTGTGGCAGGATTTAAACCTACGCGGGAAGAACCCAATGGATTTCAAGTCCATCGCCTGCACCTCTCCGCCACGACAAGTGATTTGATGTTTATTGGGTGACATTTTTGTAGGAGAATAATTTTGAGGGTCTCGTTTCAGCCTGAGCCCTAGTCCTGCGACAATGGCTGTGACTTTGCAGCTCAAATGTTGGCATGGCCTTGTGGTGAGACGGAAAGACAAGAAATGCAGTTTGGTCTCTCGACCCACGTTGAAGTCCTGTCGACAGGGAGCGCAGTTTGGAGATTTGACATGAAAGATGCTGACTTTGTAGGAGAGAGAAGAAGCACATTTCAGAAAATGCTTCGCCGAGAGGTGATCGTTGTCAGCAGGATTTGAACCTACGCAGGAAGAACCCAATGGATTTCAAGTCCATCGCCTTAACCACTCGGCCACGACAACACACTTATGTGCTTATCGGTGACATTTTTGGAGGAGAGTACTTAATTTTGAGTGCAGGATTTCTGAGAAAATGGCGGCTATTTTGCACCACAAATGTTGGTGTGGCCCCATGATTAAAATGGTGGCAGTTTGGTCTCTCGACCCAGGTTGAAGTCCTGTTGACAAGGAATGCAGTTTGGAGATTTGACATTAAAGATGTTGACTCTGTCGAAGAGGAGCACAACATTTCAGAAGATGTTTCTCCGAGAGATGATCGTTGTCGGCAGGATTTGAACCTACACGGGAAGAACCCAAAGGATTTCAAGTCCATCGCCTTAACCACTCGGCCACGACAACTGATTTGATGTTTATTGGGTGACATTTTTGTAGGAGAATAATTTTGAGGGTCGCTTCAGCCTATGCAGGAGTCCAGACACAATGGCAGTTTTTTTGAGGCACAAATGTTGGCATGGCCCCATGATTAAAATGATGAACAAGAAATGCCGTTTGGTCTCTTGACCCAGGTTGAAGTCCTGTCGACAGGGAATGTAGTTTGGAGATTTGACATGAAAGATGCTGACTCTCTTCAAAAGAACCACAACATTTCAGAAAAATTTTCTCCGAGAGGTCATCATTGTCGGCAGGATTTGAACCTACGCGGGAAGAAACCAATGGATTTCTAGTCCATCGCCTTAACCACTCGTCCACGACAACACGCTTGCGTTCTTATAGGTGACATTCTTGGAGGTGAGTACTTAATTTTGAGCGCCGGGTCGGATTCCTG